TATTTGATATATATATATATATATATATATATATATATATATATATATCTCATTATTTAGGGATTAAAGTGAAGATATTATAAAAATCACTTAATTTGTTTGAGAAAACAATAGGTTTCTAATTTACTCTATTTTGTCGCGGGTTGTATTAAAATCTTTTTAAATATATAGAAAAATTAAATTACATGGAATTCTTTAATATTGTTATTAAATCTAATTCAAGGAGTTAAACTTGAAACTTTTAACTCAATTTCTTGTCAACTTTGAATTTCTATTTAAATTATATTTAAATTATATGAGAGTTGTCTTGATGTGATATAATCAACTTAATGGATTCCAAGATAAAAATTAAATAAAAGCAAAGAACAAAAAATAATATAAAAAACAAAGATTAGTCACGCGAGTTTAAAAGCAACTTCAAAAACCATTAAAAAGAGGTTTGACTTTAAAAATAATAATTGAAGCTCATATATATATATAAATTTTTTTTTATATATTGAGATGATGATATATTGAATTAGTTTCACTCCACCTGTGTTAACTCACCAAACTTGTGATTTAGATTATAAATTCCTATGAGTTCAATATATTTTTTTGAATTAGAAGATGTTATTGAAAAAATAAAAATAAAAAACCCAACGCTAAAGGTTCGTGCCCCAACGTATCATAGCCTTGAAAAAATTTGTTGTTTAAGGATTAAGACAACAATAATACCTAAAGGAGGTGAATTAAATGTTCTATTAATTATGTCAAATAATGCAAGTAATCATACTAAACACATATAACACATTAATCAACAATATAATTAAAGTGTTTAAAGTAAATAAATAAAGAAAAAGAGAGTGCAAACTTGGTTTTTAATGCGGTTCAACAAACCTACATCTACACCTCAAGTATAAACCACACTTAAGTATTGTATTCTTTTATTAATTCAAGTGAAAGATGCAATGTCCTTGATAAATCCACACTAAACAATTACACCACTTTGAGATTTCAGGATTTTTCTCTTGGTGACAATATCTTGCCAATACCAAGAGTTTATCCAAACTCTTAAGTGTTTACAATTATGATTTGTTTACAACAAGATTTATTCTCTAAAATAGTAGATGATACAATTAAAAACTATAATCTCCATAACTCAATAACACTTAGGATGATTGAACATGTGTATGTGTAATGAATGTGAGATTTTATAGTCTTGCGCAAGAATATAAAGATTTAATTCAACACAACTGTATGTTAGGATTTATGATTTCTAGTTGGTTTGTCTTTTTGGAATAACTTCTATATATATATATATATATATATATATATGTTTAAAAAAAAACTAGCCGTTTATAACTGTTAAAATGTCTTTGATGCTTAAAACGGTTGACTAGTTCTTGCAAAATTCTCAGGTGTTTATCATGGACGAATATCATTGACTTATTCATTAGATATGCCCAAGCAGTTGACCAATTCAGCTTAAAAATCAATTCTGACAATTTCAAACCTGATGAAACTTGAATCGATTAAATGTTATCAATTCTAGTTCTGCATGCACTGTGAAGTTTGTGAGTTCATTTTAGTTTGCTATTGAGTAAGATACAATGAATCCTTAATAGTTAAGTCTTCACTTGTTTTGCATCTTGGACTTATTGATGAATTTATTCATTAAATTTCATATATTTGTTGATGTGATCTTCATATAAAACCTGTTTAAACTTAATCTCATTCAAGCATATTATTAGTCTATTTTTTTATTTAATTGTTATCATCATAATACAAGATATTATAAATATTAATATGTGACCTATAGGTCAACAAAAGCCACCACCATCAAACTTTCCTTATCGAACGGAATCCATAGACACCAAGTTTGACCATTTTTGTTTTTGGTATCACGACAACCACCATTTTCTTTTTCTTTCGTAGTTTTTCAGGCAACTTTCTCTTCTCTCTCTCTAACTCAGATATTGAAAAATAAACAAAATAATTTTTGAACAAAATAAAAATTGTTGCAAATTTAGGGTGAGACGTGTATTTTCTGTACGTTTTAATTTGAAGTTTCATTTCATATAATAAAATCATAAAATGATGCAATTGAAAGAATTAAAAAAATAAAATTGGCAGGAGATTCATTATTCATATGAATTGTGGTTGACCTATCCTTTTTTGGTTTTTATAAATGTGCTATTGTTCAAATGAACATTGAAACATTATTTTTGTTTTCAGTTTTTACAATCCTTGTCTTGCTAATTATGCTAATGCCATTATTTCCACAATAAAAATCGGTAGGTTGTTTAAGAACAAAAAAAAGATGAAGATAGTCATACATGTTCTCTTGAATTTTTGTTTGAAATGACATAAATTTGCTCTAAGTTGTAATAAAAATATATTTATTGTTATGTCTTCGACTCCATTCCTCCATCCAAGCATATTTTTGTCCTATATGTATTTATACTTTATGTCATTAAATAATAACCTAACACGCCTCATAGCACATCTATGCTAAAATCATATTTTTTTTTAATTTTCTTTTCTGAGAAATTACATATTTTATAGATAATCACAATCATTAACAAATTGAATTATTATTGGGTAAACTATTTATTTACCCTCATAGATTTATCAATATTTCACTCTTGTCCTTGTAGTTTAAATTTTTTCAATTTTACCCTTATATTTTTTAGAAAGTTTCAATTTTATCCTTTATCACTAACTAAATAACAAAAATCTAAATTTTTCATATTTTTATTTTATTATTTTTTTACTTTTCTCTCATTTTTTCCTCTTAAGTCCATATATAAGTCATAATTTTCTTACAAAAACATTTAGAAACCTATATAAAACCTCAAAAACTGAATTTAAAAAGTAGGCTATTTAGGTAACCGTATTGTATTGTGGCATGACTGCACTTTTCAAAAATAGAAAATTTAATTCAAATATTTTTTTTTATGTTTTTGAATTGTTTTGATGTGTTGATGTTATTAAAAAAATTTATTTTGATGCATTTTCAAGTGAAAAGTACTTTAAAAAACAAATATTACTACAATATCAAATACTACCTTACCAGTTAGAAGTAACATCAGAACTTTTTGAAAATTAGAAATGTAATATTGTGAAATTTTAAACTAAGAGGTTAGAAGCGGAACATTGATGAATCATTAGCTGCAAAATTGAGGTTTACCCAAAGTTGTCTCATACCTCATCTTGATTAATTACAGGAGTATTAATTTAATGTAACACATTCTTTTGGACCAAAGTACTGATAATTGTGTTCATTTTGCCAAGTTCAGCTTCCACCTCTATTCAACATTCCAAAGTCCCAGCTCCAATGTTTTGGTGAATCAGCCTACTGCTTCAGCAAAAATCTGTTGCAGCAGTGCAACAATGCTGAGAGCTCACTGGACAGATTCACCTCTGTTGTAGCATGGAGCATATCTACTACACGTCCTCCCTCTTTTGGTGTTGCCCCTTACAATCCCATTCTTGGAGAGACTCACCATGTTTCCAGAGGAAGCCTCAATGTTCTACTTGAACAGGTACTTAAAATTCTCGTGAGATCCGATGGGCTTGGACTTTACAACAGAGGGCGTGTTATATCATATGATTGGATTCGTTTAATTCATGGTTTCAGGTGTCCCATCATCCACCAGTTTCAGCCCTCCACGCGACGGACGAGAAAGAAAATATTGAGCTGATTTGGTGCCAAAAACCTGTTCCAAAATTCTATGGTAGGACTACTTTTCCCAAACTGCTTTAGCTTGCTTTTAGGTAACATGGATTTTGGTTTTCTTAATGATGTAGCAACTTGGTTTTATTTTTCATTGATTGTGAAGGCACAAGAGTAGAAGCTGAAGTGATTGGAAAAAGGCAACTTAAACTCCTGAATCATGGAGAAACTTATATGATGAATTCACCAAAGCTCATGATCAGATTTCTTCCACCTCGGGTTGATTGGATTGGCAAGGTAAAAATTTCTTGCCAGGAGACTGGTCTTGAAGCTGAGTTATGCTACATTACCAGTTCTTTATTAGGACGTAGAGGAGAGCATCGAGTTAAAGGAAAGATCTACCAGTCTTCATCTATGAAGACCTTTTATGAGGTTGAAGGATACTGGAACAGGTAGATGTATATTCACACAGAAACAAACTTCTTCTAGAATCATTATGCGTGTAAATAGTTTAAGATTAGTGTTAATCTCACTGAAAGATTCTTACTGAAATCACTTACTGATCCAGTATTGTCAAAGCCAAGGACATTAATAGTGGCAAGGAGACAATTATATATGATGCAAAGGAAGTGTACTCTGAGCTCAAGACTCCTATAGTCAAGGATTTGCAGGTAGCTTCATAGTTTATACTTATCGGTCGCTTGATATTTTTTTCTCGTGCTTCTTATTAAGAGACTTTCAGAAATGACTCTTCTATATGACCACCAAAATCCTGGTTTAGACTCAGAAGGTTGAGTTCTTTGTTTCACCGTGGCAGATAGATTTCTCTCTGTAGCAATCAATACATTGTCTTGCTGCAAAAAGGCTATTCTGCTGTGTTGAGAGTTTCAATATATTCTGATTTGTATATGTAATGTGCATGCAAGGATACATGACTTGGTTTATGATGCTTGCATCCCGCTGTTTTCTTGTTTTGTAAGGGAATTTGGCCAACTGAATCAACTGCAGTGTGGAGTGAGGTGAGCAAAGGCATACTGAGCAAAAACTGGACGAAGGCAAGAGAAGCAAAGAGCACAGTTGAGGATAACCAGAGAAAACTTGCTAAAGAGAGGGCATCAAAGGGAGAAACTTGGGTTCCTAATCATTTCACTGTATCTGATAGCAAAGAAGATGGTTGGGACTGCTCACCTATTCAAGAAAGAGTCCCACCAGCCCCCATTGTTGTCCCTCTTTAATATTCTTTGATTTGTGGCAATCTAGCAGTTTACAATGAACACTTTTATGTGGTTTATCAGGTTTTAAGTCCCTTCTCTTGGTTTATTCATGCGATTATTCTATTATCAGCAAAGAAAGGAAGGTTCTATACTTCCGTTGGTAGCTGGAGAACCTTCCTGTAAACAAGGTTTGAGCTTCATTGATTACAGTACTTCATCATCCTTAATCAAAACAGCAAATAAATTATGTGATTACTAGGTATTTTGCAACGAGAAGCTGTTTTCTTTTAAGCATTTTCCTGAAAAATTCGTGGTCCTTCCCTTTTCGCGTCCACAATACCACAGAGATCAGTGCAAAACCTGGTTCTTAGTGACCATCGATGGCAACTAGTTTCCTTGGCCAGCCATTCAGCTATGCGTTTCAGCTTCCACCAATAAGAGAGACAATTTTCAGGCAATCCGAACTATGTATCTAGTTACAAGATCAGATGGCTAGTTTTGAAACGAATGTTCTGGTTAATCCTACAGCTAGATCCTCTATCACCAAGGCAGAACTGAATTTTCAGGATTCGGTCAAGCCACGTTCAATCACCTACCTCGCTTTCTTTCAAACCATACTTGCCAGTCGTCCTAACCTATGTTGCTTTGACGTCCTTCATTTTTCCTTAGAGTACCCGTATCAGATATGGATCTATAGACACACGGGGACTCCAATTATATGGAAAGATACGAAAACATAGGTATGCATGTCGGTTACGCCCCCATATCTGATATAGATCTCGAGTCCGAGCAATATAGACCCTGAAAATCAAGCTGCCGTTCTTGATCAAAGAAGCATAACAAGTCTGCTTAGAACTTTCGTATACATGATTGTAATATTATCATATTACACTAACCCCACAAACTACAGATGATAAAAATCTTAAACTGAAAAGGAACAAGAAGGTGGGTGGTATATAGATTCACAGTCGATTGTTGGGTTAAATGTTATGTATGTAAACCTTTATGCGTGCAGTCTCGAGTGATTCCCCAACATATATCTCCCTCCCTAACAAGTGGTATCGGAGCTAAACTAACGGTGGCAAGTATTTGTTTATTCGGATCTGTAAACTCTCATGCATATACGTCCAATTGAGTCTCCGATGTTGATGATCTTCCCAACACTTTCAGAATTTGGAATAGCAATACAATCAGGAAATTGAAATGATGCGGATTAGAATGCAATATAAATGAAAAAGATTAAAAAGCAGGCTAGGCACCATTTGTGTGCCTGTATATTCACATTATATCTCTCAAAATCTAATAGCAAGCTACAACTGCTAGAATACATCACACGTCAAACTTAAGCTTACAAATTATCATTTGCTGCATTTTCCAGAACTGCTGTCCTCTTTTGGTTAGTTACAAGAATACATCACACCTCAAGCTCCTTTTCGAGGTCTCGAAATCCATGTCCTGCAGGTCTGATTCACTCCTCCGGTTGAAGGACTTCTCTCTGATGGTATCCAAAACCGGCTTCCATGACGTTCTAACCTGTGCTCTACATATCGGATTACTCTGGCCCAACGAGGAACTAGTTCCTGAAGACTTAGCCTGACCGCACCTGCTAGACTTTGCTATTGAACTGAGCTTCTTTACTAAAGCAAGAAAATCCACAGGAGAAACATCAGGCTGCAGTATCGAGTATGGAAGCAAGAAGTAGATTTGGCCTGTCTCTAGCTGAACATCGGGCTTCAACGGTTTCGATTCCGCAGAAAGAAGCTGAGCGGCAGTGAAGACAAGATTCCTTGAGGGTAATTGGCCTGTAGTCACTTGGCTAACTGACACAGGATTTTCAAATTCTTGTACATAACCATTGAAGTGAACTACTCGAATATTGTTGAATTTTGTAGATGATTTGCATGAAAAACAACCACCCATCTCTCCTTGTCTTCTCTCTTTCTCAATGGATTATAATGTTTGTAAAGGTTGAATCAGTATGTGTTTATGATTGAATATTGCGTGTGACTTGTTATATGGAAATACCTTTTCTGCTAACCACTTCGCTATATTTTATTCCCATGTGAAACTATATATATTACTTTGTTTGCTCCCAATCTATGGAATTAGGGTAATACGAAGTCATCAAGCAATTTCAAGATTACTTTAGTGGTAAAATCACTTTCACTAAAGAAAGCTTGAAAGGTCCTTGCTAACCAAAATCAAGGGGAAGAATGGTTTAAGATTCTTCAATATTTTTCATTGTTCTAGTTTCAAGAAAAAAATAGGATTTTTATTGAAAATATATTAAATAATTTTTTTTTATTTAAAGTAATTGAGAGTACCATGGAACTAAATTTTTTGTTGATTTATCATTTTTTTTATGAACAATTTCAAAGCATATTGTAAAAATTATTCCTCATTTTTACTACAAGGACAGAAATTGAGTGTTTGAAATGGTCAGTCCAATCCTCCCACAGCTTGGTGGATGACTGGATGACTTGGATTGCTTGACTTCATTAGGAAGAAAAATGTTGCCGTGGGGTTAGGATTAAGCACAATGATTGATAAAGTTTGATGTATGAATTGGATAATATTTTCATAAAAAAGCAAGAAAAAATAAATATTAATGAAAATATATACCCAATGGTCTACAGCTAAATTAATTCCTTCAAGTTGACGGGCAAGTTGCTTTACTTTTATCCCTTCAGGAAGGAGTCCTTAGTCAACGAATAGTTTTTATTGAAGACAAAATATAACTCAGAAACCATAAATATAAACTCATTTTACTCTTTATTGTTTACAAAATTTTATATACAGTAGCACCTTATGGTATTTATAATTTTATTTATTGCAGTATAAAATCTCTTTTTTTAATAAGAAAACATGATATTAATTAAATGGAACTCTTAATTTATATATATTCCCTATTTTTAGTTTATTGCAATTTATAGATGATGCAATGTAGAAAAAAAAACTCTATAAATAATTATGATTTGCAATAAAAGATAGGCACAATATTTTATAAGTATTTTATAATATAATTGATTATGATTTGCAATAAAAGAGAGGCACAATATTTTATAAGTATTTTATAATTGATTATGAACCTCTTAGTTAAGAGATTGATAAATTCAAAAATCTACACGGAATTACTTATCATATATTAACACGATTTGTCATGACATAATCTGGCAAATTTATGCCAGCAGTTCATTTGTCAATTTAGAGAAAATTACCAACATTTTGCACTTATTTTACTGTTATATATTGATTATTATCTTGAATTAATTAATTTTCTCAAGATAATCACGCAACTAAATAAGTATTAAATTTACTGTGCTTAACAAACATAAGAAATTAAAGTGATATTTTATTTCTGATAGGGATTTTGATTGAGATTGACAGGAAAAATTTAATATCATTGTATCATGTCCAAGAAGAAAATTTTGGCGCCACATTTCCTTTCTCCCCCCTTTTCCACCAGAGGTCGGTCATTATGAGGAACAGCTACTGTTCATGTTTGAATTTCTATTTCTATTTTTATAAATTCCATGTTTTTATGTTAATTTATTCTAAATATCATATATGGTTGGATATCAAAATTAAGGGTGAAAATAAGGTCACTAAACCTTGTTAATATGTTAACACTCCAATCAGTAATGATATAGTTAATTAGCATATAATAGATTGCTACTGTTCATTATGGAGAGATAATATCATTATCCCAAAAATAAATATGCTTAATTTAAATCTTTGAATTTGAAAATTATGCTTGAGAAAATTCAACTTCAATTCAGTAGTCAAACCTTTCCATATATATTGATTCTAGGCATTATCAATATCAGCAAACATTATATAAGAATTTGTTAAAATAATTGTGTATGGAATAATTTATTTTATTCAAATAAGATTGTAATACCAATAATTTATTTTTTTGCACGATATTTATTGGCTTCTCAAAAAAAAATATTAGTTAATATTTTCAGAATTGTGATTTCCATTCAATTCCATCAACAGGTCCCGTGAGAACAGAACATGATGAATATGTCAAGGAGAAGGAAAAAAAAAACAAAATGAATAAAGAAATAAATAGAATCAATTTTTTTTTAAAAAAAATCAAACATAAAAGAGAACAAAAATTCATTAAGAAAAGATAAAAACATTTGAACTTGAATTTTCGTAGATGAACAAAATCATTCATTGAACATGTATCTACATGTCCGATTAGTGTTTTAGAAGAAAGAAAATATAAATATATTTGATTAGAGAAATGAAAATAAATCATAAAAATAGTATATTGCTATCTGAAACAAAAAAGATAAACATAATGAAAATAAAAGGACAAGATACTTAAAAAAATGAAAATAAAATTGTGTTTGATAATAATATATAAGATATTGTAATTATTTCTGTATTTTATTTAGTTAATGGTGAATAAAATAAAATAAAATTCATATATTTTTAAAATAATTTTAGAATATATTTTTGTTATTTCAAAACAGAAAAGACAGGAAAAACATATTTTATCTATCTTTAGCGTCTCATTTTCTTCCGTCTCAACAGAATGATTCAATAATATATAAAATAACAAATTAAGCCTTGCACGTGAATATTTTTTTATAAGATATGGTCAATTTACTTATAAAAATTATAAAAAGTTCATTTGATCATAAATTTAACCACGTCAAAACATTAGGAAAAAGTATTTTATCTGTTCAGCTACCAACGAGGGGCTATGGTGCATATTCTACTAAAACAACAACATCAATAATAATAAAAAAATATTTTTTTTAACTAGAAATGCAAGCAAGCCAAGCTATTAAAAAATGGTCACTTCTGGATAAAATAGTTTTGATCTGGTCCCTTTGTCAGCGATTAATATGATTACTTATCGCCTGTTATGTTTATCCTTTTTAGCCTTCCATGGGAGCGCCGTCCGAACATAATTCAGCTAAAATTTATTTATTTATTTAAAGTTAATTTTGTTATTTTTTTGAATTTTTTTGATGTATTAATATTAAAAATAAATTTTAAAAAATAAAAAAATATTTTAATATATTTACAAATAAAAAATATTTTAAAAAATAATTGTTATTGTATTTTAAAATACCCTTTTAATTTTACAGTATAATTATAATAATTATTTTATTTATTTATGTGGACATTTGAACTCAAAATTGAGACAAACGGTTGTCCTTATATATTATATTAGTTAATTTAAAGCTAGAAACGCAAAATTTAATTTTTCATTATTATTTATTCAACCAAATATTTTCTTAAGCCTATGCTGATTAATGTTTTTTATATTACTAATATTAATTGCATTATTAAACACTTCATCAATATTATAATTTCCAAATTATTAAGATGCAAATTTTTTATGCAGGATTGATCATTCAATCCATCATATTTAATAAATTTTTTTTGTTAACCAAAGCTTTTAAATAGTATTAAATATAATTTACAATGAGAAATCTATTGCACAGATATTTATTTTTATGTAAAAACTACATTGGTAGCTCCAATTACTGATTATGTTACTGTGGCACGTGGAATTTGAAATTCAATAATCTTTAATTACACATATAAATATGTATAGGAGAATTTAGATATCATTATTTGAAGTATAACTACCAAGAGATACTATACTTCCTTTATATTTTTTTATTTAAAAAAAAAACTAAATATAGGAAGCTGGAATTCTGTTGTTGTTGTTGGTGAGGACCTCATAGACAATCACATATCACAAAAAAAAAAAAAAACAAAGAAATGCACCAATAGAGACCTCATAGACAATCACATATCACAAAAAAAAACAAAAAACAAAAATAAATTGCAGTCGCACCAACGAGCAGAATATTTTTTTAGTCTATGCATAAACAGTGATACGAACACAACGGGACCGTCTTCTTGACCTGAAGAGAATTGCCGGTGACTTCATCATTGCCTATGGACTATCTTTTCTTTGGTCTTTCCTTCGTATTTGTTCAAAGAAAATTTTCATATAAATAAACACATCCGTTGCTGGAAATTATATTGAATCTCCATATTACTACTGTATGAATTTCCAAATTGGGAATATTTTTTTCATTAAAAGAGTTTTTTTTTTTTTTTTTGCCTCTAATGCACGTTTTCCGCTCTAAGTCACAATATAGTTTATTTTTTATGTATCCTATTTTCTTGGAAACAAAAGAAGTTTTAATTTCTATGATTAAAAACCAGTCAATTCAACTGAAAAAATAAAAAAAATAAAAGAAAGGTTGTAGCTCGACGAGACCAAGCATCCGGGCTTGGTTCTACCAATTCTACAAATCTATCCATCCCGTGAGAGCCAAGTCCGTGTGCATTATTATAGTTGTAATGTATATTTTACTAAGTAAATGGTACCAAAGTTTGTGTTTAAGCGGCAATTTCTTTCACATAAATAATTGAATTCCTTAAGAGAATATATAATTTAGAGTCCCAATTGGAGAAGAAAGTTGAACAAAAAAAATAGAATTTCAATAAATATAATCTTCAACCAGTTATAATTATATTATATTTTCATAAAATTAATGTATTTAGGTAATTAAATAAAATTGGGTCTCCAATCCCCTTGCATTATTAAAACTATAAACTATTTAAACTTGGGAAATTAAATAATTAAAATAACTGCTCTCCTAGCAAGATTTAAGGATTTTGGAAATGATGCTCTCAATGTGTTTCTTGGTATCTCCCACACCCACTTGACCACTTGGCCACCTAAGTCCATGCAATTACAAATTATATTTTGTGAGAATATTAAATTAGTCCTTTTAGTTTCTGAAATTAAAAGTCAATGTTTTTCCCAGCTTTAACCATCAAGTTGTTCTCAGATTTCTCACGTTTTTGTTTTTTCTTTCCTAACCAGAGGAACTAACCGTTTCTATTTCTTAAAAGTATAAGGACTGACTTGCAATTTACTGAAATACTCCTTTTCTTTTGGGCTTAAGAAGCGGGCTTTTCTATACTTTTGTTCAATAAATACAACTGACCACGGAAACACACAAAGGCTAATTTGGGCTCAGCTCAAACCCAAACTCCAGGCCTCTTAACAATTTTAAAAAATAGAAGGTGGTGGTCAAGAGCTACAAATCATGATGGTTTTCAAGCTGGTTCGGGATCCCACCTGAACAAAATTCTGAGTTTTTAGGTCATCAGTTAACTTGGACGTAACAATTTTTAATTTTTAATTTTTTTATTTATAATTAAACTGCTAAGTCTGTAAGTCATTCAAGATTAGCCTGATAAATATTAAAATTGATTTAAATTAAAATCTCAACTAATCGAGTGTTTTTAGCTGCAAGTTTGACTGGTAAACTTGCTGGTTTAATAATGATGCACAGGCTATCAGTTTTTGCTGGAAAAGCCTGAAGATTAAAGAAGTTGACTTCATGAATTTAGGGCCTACAAAGAAAGCAAAATTTTCACTGCAGCTTGCTTGATGTAATCATTCTTTATAACTGACTTCATGGATTCTTGCAATGTTGTTGCTGTTAAGTTTTATTTGTCTACGGATTCATTTCCTCAACTAGGGAAAGAAGAGATGTTTTTTGCTTCTATATTCTGCTGTTTAAGTGATCTTCTTTCAATATCTTATGTAACAATGTTTAATTTTTTTATTTATAAATTAAACTGCTAAGTCTGTAAGTCATTCACGTAACAATTTTTAATTTTTAATTTTTTTATTTATAATTAAACTGCTAAGTCTGTAAGTCATTCAAGATTAGCCTGATAAATATTAAAATTGATTTAAATTAAAATCTCAACTAATCGAGTGTTTTTAGCTGCAAGTTTGACTGGTAAACTTGCTGGTTTAATAATGATGCAGGCTGCCAGTTTTTGCCGAAAAGCCTGAAGATTAAAGAAGTTGACTTCATGAATTTAGGGCCTACAAAGAAAGCAAAATTTTCACTGCAGCTTGCTTGATGTAATCATTCTGTATAACTGACTTCATGGATTCTTGCAATGTTGTTGCTGTTAAGTTTTATTTGTCTACGGATTCATTTCCTCAACTAGGGAAAGAAGAGAGATTGACTGAAGCTTATTTAACTTGCTTTGCTTAAGAGATGTTTCTTTGCTTCTATGTTCTACTGTTTAAGTGATCTTCTTTCAATATCTTATGATATATTTTGAATGAAATTTGCAACTGATTCCTTATAATTCAACACATAATTAAATCTTGAAATTATACGGGCATGAAATCTTAGTAATAATATCTTTGGAAAACTAGTCTTTAACGTTGTTTTCGATGACTCCATGGTGTGTGTGAAGGCCCAATGGTAGTGATCATCTGATCTGCTGTTAATTTGGAAGAAGGATTCTTGGGATGGGGGAATCTGAACCAGGGCACTTAGTAAACCCTACCACAACTCAAAGTCCTAACGGTTGAACAACTTGAGCGTTTTCTTTGCTAGAGTTGGTCCTCGAAAAAAAAAAAGGCTGTTGAGCATCCAATTTTCTGTCGGTAGATTCAAATTTTCTGACAAATACATAAGACAGTAACCAGAATTCACACAATTGGAATATAGAGCTAGTAGTTCTCCCGCGGCCCTCGGTGCAATCATCGGCGTACTCAGTCGTTCCCAGGAGTTTCTAGGAAATGATCCTTATGGTGACATTAACAATCTATATGATTTTGGCATGCAAAATATGGAGGGCCTAAAAAAAAGTGTTGTCTCCGGATGTAATGGGATGGAGATTCTTGCAAAGGAGAAGGAATTAGAAGAAGACATCTTTCCCAACTTGGAGGATTTGAGACTTTATGATCTGCTAAGATCGAGTAATATAGTGGAAGGGCATGTGTCACCTAGAAGCTTTGCGAATCTAAAGTTCTTGTCTCTAGAAAAATGTAAAAAAAGGCTGTTGAGCATCCAATTTTCTGTCGGTAGATTCAAATTTTCTGACAAATACATAAGACAGTAACCAGAATTCACACAACTGGAATATAGAGCTGGTAGTTCTCCCGCGGCCCTCGGTGCAATCATCGGCGTACTCAGTCGTTCCCAGGAGTTTCTAGGAAATGATCCTTATGGTGACATTAACAATCTATATGATTTCGGCATGCAAAATATGGAGGGCCTGAAAAAAAGTGTTGTCTCCGGATGTAATGCGGTGGAGATTCTTACAAAGGAGAAGGAATTAGTAGAAGACATCTTTCCCAACTTGGAGGATTTGAGACTTTATGATCTGCTAAGATCGAGTAATATAGTGGAAGGGCATGTGTCACCTAGAAGCTTTGCAAATCTAAAGTTCTCGTCTCTAGAAAAATGTGATAATCTGAGACATGTCTTCTCATGGAGCACGATCAAGCAACTCCCTAAACTGGAGACTCTATATATCAGTAAGTACAAGAACCTTGAAGATTTCTTCGAAGAGAATGCGACTGAGACAGAGATGGTCAATTACGAACTTCCCAGTTTGAAGTTCTTTCCCTTGAAATGCCTGCCTAAAATTGTCAGCATTGATAAGATTGTGGCATTGGCTTTATCGTCAATAGAGGAAATTTATACTATCCATTGTATAAGCGTAAAATCTCTTCCTAGGAGCCTCGTCAATGCACCAAGATTAATGATCATTACAGGCAGGGGCGGAGCAAGAAAAAAAATTGAGGAGGGCGAAATTAAAAGAATTATTTTAAAAAAGTTTATTTTATTGAAATATATATTAAATGAAAGTGTTTGCTGTCTATAGTGAAGATGAACAATTGCTCTTCATAACAATTGTTACAAAGCACATTCTCCTGGAAAAGCCCCGTTCTTAATTTTTTTTCTCCATCCATATGAATGAGAAATCTGCTTATAGTCGCTCATAAGCATTAAAAGGCATGACTCGATGTTTGCTGTGTAGTTTTTTGAGGATAGAATCCAGCAAAAGACATCCTTTTACCAAGCTACCATGGATACGAGTTAGAACAGGCATTGAAGGACTGAAGGTTCGATGCCTTCTTTGGTTGCGCTATTACTACACCCTTCATTTACTGTTGAGGTTTCAACATGGTAGCTTGTTTACTAATTTGCACCAATTTTGATCCCAACATGGCAAGGTGGTCGTCAATCTATCTTATTAAAATTCAAATCACGAGGAGGTCACGTGCCCTTCATTCCTTCCCTTGTGATCCGTTAAATCTTATCTACTCTATTTTCTTCTTAAAACTAATAATTATTTTACAACCAAATAACAATTATCTAAAAAACTTTTATTTTCTTTTAATACACTTAATACCAAAATCAGAATGCTTAACAACACATATAGATCAAAATTGAAGGTTTAAGATCATGAAAATTAGAGATCGGAGGACTCTCGTCTAATCATATTATTGAAGATTTTTTATTTTTGTTAGCTACAAATTATTATTTTTTGAAAGTTTTTTTACAACGTTTTTTATGTATTAATATTAAAATTAAATTTTAAAAAATAAAAAAAATATTATTTAAATATATTTTCAAAAAAAATAATTACTACCATAATATTAAATATGATCTTAATCAATCACTTAATTATAGTTGCTTTGTTTAATGGTGTAATGATAATAAATACATAGACAATAATTAATTTATTTTACATTAACAAATTTTATTAAGTGAGTTTCTAGGTGAGTGTTTAGAAATACTGTAATTTTTATTTTTAAATGATTTTTTATTTAAAAAATATTATATTAATATATTTTTAAATATTTTTAAATAATTTTGATAGTTAATGTTAAAAATAAAACAAAATTAATTTTAATATAATTTTTAAACATAATAAATCTCAAAAAAAAAATTAATATAATTTTTAAACATAATAAATCTTGATTTTTATAAAAATAATTTAAGGATATAATAGGTGAAGCTTGTAGTTCAGGTCAAAAAAATTTAAAGATATAATAGGTGAAGCTTGTAGTTCAGGTTTTATTTTACCATAACCTCGATAGTTTATTTTGAAAAATATTCCATATTTCGGACTGGGACCTCAAATCCTTTCGAGGATTCCCTGCGGACTGTGTGAGTTACCCCGAGCCCAAAATCCTTAATGACACAGAACAGCGTTTTCCAAATTCAAAGGAGCAAAGAAAACTGATGTCTTTCCCTCCTCCCTCCTCCTCCTCCTCCTCTTCTGTACAAACTCTACTCAAAAGTGGGTTCTCTCCAACTCTCAAATCCATCAACCAATTTCTCCACTTTCTCTCAAAATCCCAGAAATACGAATTGATCACTCACTTTTTCTGTCAAATTAATCGAAACAAGATCAAATGCAACCCCCAAACTCATTCAGTTTTCACCTGTGCTCTCCTCAAACTCGAAAAATTTGAAGAAGCAGAGCATTTTATGAAGACCCAGATGGAGAAATCTTCAAAAGTTTCAGGATTTGGCGTTTGGGATTCTTTAATTCGAGGTTTTAGTGTCAATAAAAAGGACCCTGAGAAGGGTTTGTCGATACTAAAAGATTGCTTGAGGAATTATGGTATTTTGCCTTCTTCTTTTACTTTTTGTTCACTGATTCATAGTTTTAGTTATAAAAGAAATATGAGTGGAGCAATTGAGGTGTTAGAGTTAATGAAGGATGAGAAAGTTAGATACCCTTTTAATAATTTTGTTTGTAGTTCAATCATTTATGGGTTTTGTAAGATAGGAAAGCCAGAACTTGCTATTGGGTTTTTTGAAAATGCTGTAAAGGTTGGAGCTTTAAGGCCCAATGTTGTGACATATACTACACTTGTGAGTGCACTTTGTATGTTAGGTAGAGTTAGTGAGGTCTGTGATTTGGTTTGTAGGATGGAGAAGGAAGGACTGGCATTTGATGTTGTCTTTTATAGCAATTGGATTTGTGGGTATTTTAGGGAAGGGATGTTAATGGAAGCGTTACGAAAGCATGGGGAAATGGTGGGAAAAGGAATAAATCTGGATATGGTAAGCTATACTGTACTCATTGATGGTTTTTCTAAGGGAGGGAATGTGGAGAAGGCGGTTGGTTTTCTCGACAAGATGATTGAAAATGGGTCAAGACCCAATTTGGTTACCTATACTTCAATCGTGATGGGGTTTTGCCAGAAAGGAAAAATGGATGAGGCGTTTGCAGCATTTAAGATGGTTGAAGATATGGGAATGGAAGTGGATGAGTTCGTTTATGCTGTTTTGATTGAAGGGTTTTGTAGGGAAGGAGACTTTGATCGTGTTTATCAGTTGCTTGAGGACATGGAGCTTAAGAGGATTAGTCCAAGCATTGTTACTTATAATACTTTGATCAATGGGTTGTGCAAGAGTGGGAGGACATTAGAAGCAGATGAAGTCTCAAAAAGGATACAAGGAGATGTAGTTACATACAGTACATTGTTACATGGGTACACAGTGGAAGAGAACAGTGCAGGGATTTTGGAAATTAAAAGGAGGTGGGAAGAAGCTGGAGTTTGCATGGATATTGTAATGTGTAACATACTTATCAAAGCACTCTTTATGGTTGGTGCATTTGAAGATGTGTATGCACTGTACAAAGGAATGAAAGAAATGGATTTGGTTGCAGACTCGGTTACTTATTGTACATTGATCAATGGATATTGTAAATCCAGTAGAATTGATGAAGCACTTGAGATATTTGATGAGTTTAGGAAGATGTTAGCTTCTTCAGTTGCATGCTACAATTGTATGATTAATGGGCTGTGCAAGAATGGTATGGTGGATCTGGCCACAGAGGTATTCATTGAACTCAGTGAGAAAGGTTTGACTTTTGATGTGGGCATATATATGACTTTAATCAAGGCAATAGCTAAAGCAGAAAGCATGGAGGGAGTTTTGAATCTAATTTATAGAATTGAGAATCTGGGGTTGGACATGTATGACACTATATGCAATGACACAATCAGTTTTCTGTGCAAGCAGAAATGTCCCCTGGCTGCAACTGAAGTGTGCATGGTGCTCAGGAAGAATCAGTTGATTGTTACATGTAAGTCTTACTATTCAATTTTGAAAGGGCTTATTGATGATGGAAAAATATGGCTGAGTAAGCTCTTAATAGGAAGTTTTATGAAAGACTATGGCATTGCTGAACCTAAATTAAGTAAGATACTACTGCATTACCTCAGTCTGAAAGACATTAACAGTGCACTTTGTTTTCTGAGTAAGATGAAGGAAAGTGATTCATCTGTCACTTTTCCTGTTTGTGCTTTAAAAGTACTAATGAAAACTGGTAGATTTTTGGCTGCCTATGAACTTGTCATGGGAGCTAAACATAATCTACCAGTTATGGATGTGGTTGATTACTCTATCATTGTTGATGGCCTTTGCAAAGGAGGGTATCCTGTCAAGGCTTTAGATCTCTGTGCTTTTGTTGAAAACATGGGTGTAATTTTTAACATAATAACTTATAACTCAGTCATAAACGGACTGTGCCGACAGGGTTGTCTTGTTGAAGCATTTCGGCTGTTTGATTCATTAGAGAAAATCAACTTGATTCCCTCAGAAATAACATATGCGACACTCGTTGACAACTTATGTAAAGAAGGATATCTGGTGGATGCCAAGAAATTACTTGAGAGGATGCTCCTCAAGGGCTATAAAGGAAACACACGCATCTATAACTCATTCATTCACGGTTACTGCAAATTTGGACAACTAGAGGAAGCCTTGATGATTCTGGATCATATGGAGATCAAATACCTTGTTCCTGATGAATTTACTGTCAGCTCTGTGATTTATGGTTTTTGTCAGAAGGGTGATATGGAAGGGGCTCTAGGATTTTATTTTGAACACAAGGGGAAAGGTATATCCCCTGATTTCTTGGGTTTTCTGCGTTTGATAAGAGGTCTTTGTGCAAAGGGGAGGATGGAAGAGGCCAGGAGCATTTTAAGAGAAATGCTTCAGTCACAATCTGTTAAGGAGCTGATAAACAGAGTCAACACAGAGGTGGAAACAGAATCAGTAGAAAGTATTCTTGTCTTTTTATGTGAGCAGGGAAGTATCAAGGAAGCAGTTACTGTACTTAATGAAGTTAGCTCTGTATTTTTTCCTGTTGAAAGGTGGTTTGGCCCTTTTCATGAATCTCAAGAACTGCTGCCACTTTCAGAGTTGAATGGTTTTAGTAGTGTTTCATCCAGCACTGTAACTTCTTGTGAAATAAATGATTTTGATTTGGCATCTGTGAATAAAGTAGATAACATGGTGGAGAACCCTGGTGATTTGAAGAGGGTTTCTCAATGTAATTTCTTTGACTCTTATTACTCTCTTATCGCACCACTCTGCTTGAAAGGGGAGCTACAGGAGGCTAATATATTAGCAAAGGAGATGCTTGCTAGTTTGGATGGAGATTGTTAATGGATTACACATTGTTTGGTTCTACCACGTTCACTGTTTCTTCCTCCTATGCAGAACATGTAACCTCCCTATTACAAATTTCAGGTACATCAAACTCATTTTTGCTTGTTTATGTTCTTTAAACTGAGATGATGTTATTCAGTATTGTGGTCTACGCTAAGTAATCCTGCAAGGAGCAGTTTAACACAATAACGATGCTAGAATTTAAATATGTGATGTAGTGGATAAGATGGTCTTTAATTAATGGTTTGACTTGGTCATATGTGTTTTCAGAATAAATGAGTCAAAACCTTGAAATAGTATCTTAGGAAAGTTAAGCTATACGTATGAGATTATTGGTTTCAAGAGGTCAAGGAAATAGAAATCTTGCAAGCACCAAAGACTATCTAAGGCTATATAAGGAGTCTTGTAGTGTAGATGTCATATCACATCATGTTATTTTATATTTTTAATGAATTATCTTTTATGGCTGTTTAGGTTGAGTTTGGCTCCCTTCTATCCATTTATGGTTTGCTTCTTCTTCTTCTTTTTTCCATGGGTGTGGATTTGAGTATTTATGTTTCTTCTCTCCCCCCGTCGTATATTCTGTTATAAAAGGCATTCCAATAAAGTCAACATTAAAGTGTTTTTGAACTTGATGCATCTGGGTTGCTCAGAAGATTATACAAGGTTGAAGTCTAATTCATCTTGTGAAATTCAACGAGATCAGCCTACTAGCACATATTTTTTATTGGAAACCAAATGTTTTAAATTTTGGGTTTTGCATGTCCCATTTGTAAGCTTTTTATGTTTTCAGCTACGTCCTTGTATTATAGTCCACCACACATGATATGAGGAACCCATTTCTTTGGCTTGAGGCATTTGAAGGAGCCAAATTCTATCTTGCATTGCTTATATATATATATATATATATATATATATATATATATATATATATATATATATATGGACACACCTCTTGCAATCCTTTCATTGCTGCTCTTGGCTGGGTTTGCGCTTTCTACCATTCCCTCCCTTCGACTCTCTGTCACCTTAAGTCATGATATTGTGAAGATTGTCGTCCTCTTTTAGTTACAATTGTTTCAAAACTTTCCTGTTTTCTTTTTTCATTTATGCTCTTTAAAGATAAGCTTTCTGGTGTGAAATCAAATTAATAATACAAGGTATTAGAACTCATGTAAGTTGTTCTGCTTTTGGGAACAATTTAGGAGTTCAACTGAAACACTGTATATGAAATATTAAATGAGAATACTTCAGAGAAGACAAATGACAGACTGTGATTGGTCTTATGGTCTAATAAAATGCCTCATTTTTCTGGCCTTGAAACTGTGGTTTCAGGGGTTTAGTAAGCATAATGGACAAGCATTTACTTTTATATTTTTAAAGGAAGAAACGAATACTGGGTGCTTTTAAAAGTTGCTTCCAAGGACGTAGGTTTGTAAATACTTTTCCACCAAATTCCCAAGCATGTAAGCATTCTTTCCTCCATTTCAAGATCCAGATGGATCGTAGCACCCCCTTCCACTTCTTTTTCTTCATATGCTTTTCCTTGCGTATCCAAACAGAAATAAATTTAACAATGATGAAAATGATCTCATTTTAAACATCTCCCTCCTCCTCTTTTTTTTTTTTTTTGGAATTTCCGTTTCATCTTTTTCAGATGGTTGTTCATTCAGCTTCATAATAAGACCTTCACCTGAACAGCATCATCCACAAGTAAAATATTCACTTTTATCGTTGGGATATGATTTGGTTCCCTTTTCTTTTTTAGCTGGTGCATCAAATTTATCCTCATAATCTGTTAATGACCAGAACCATTTACATTGATACAGGGAATGGCGAGGCTAGGAAATTGAATGAATGAAGCAGCATATCACTCTCTTCAGCAATCTCATATTGTTTAAGGTAAATTTTAAAATTCTTGATGTTTTTATGTTCTCCTCTGTTTTGTCTTTCCTTCATTTTGGTCATGGATTGTTATTTTAGAGTTTTCTTTTTTGTTATTTTAGGATGTCTTGATGGCATTGCTTTTGGTTGAGGTGATTCTGGGAGGCTGGACTTCATGTTCTGGAATGGTTTAACAGTGCTTGCATGAGCTGAAGATGGATTTAATACAGGCGTAGCAGGGATCTTTCCTATTTCATTAGCCCTATCTGTCCTAATTGCCATGGAGACCATAGTGCCTGTCAATCCAACATTCTTGGGGTTTGAATTTTATCATTTCGCATCTTATGATGAAAATCAGCAGGTTTAGGTTCTCTCTATAACTTGCTTTCTTCTATGGATGTGATGTAACCGCCTTTTTTATGGTTTTTCTTGGTGGTGTTGCCTCTAACGTCCATAATTGCTAGATAGAATCGGAGAGTGTTCTGCTCTTACGCTTTTGATGGTTTGTGAAAATTGGCAGTGACACTTCAATTTTTCTTCTGCAGAGCTAGGATGAGTCGTATAAAAAGATGCATTGCCTCGATCATGAGATGTTATTCCGATCCACACAGCGGGGTGTCTAGCAACAAAGTTTGGATATTTTGGCGTCTGAGTTGGCTGCTGTCACAACAAGGTGGTGCCTTTCTGCATGGCGTCTTCTGGCAATGTTTCTGTGTTGGTTTTCCAGGAATGTAATCTTCTGCATTCAATATCAGATATATTCTTGTGTTCATAGTTCCGAACCTGGCCAAATCAGATAATTTAAATTATAGTTTATGTGATCATAGTTCGGCATTCAATATCAGATAATGTAAATTATAAACCGTAATCAATGTATTATAGTCATTATAGGGACTCTAAAATAAATAGAAAAAAATAAAATTATAAAGTATAATATTTGAATTTTTAAACTAAATAGGAAAAAAAAATTAGAGCATGATTTTTTTTCTAAAATAAATAGAAACAATATAACTAAGAAAATAAATAATCTACCCTAAAAATTGTATTGCATCAAATATGCACTAATTAATTTGATGAATTATTTATTATGTATTAGAGAGCTAGATTCTCACAAAAAAAAATTAGGGGAAAAAACCTGAAAAAAAAATGATTAAACTAAGAAAACTAGAAAAAAAAATCAAATTTAAAAAATCAAATTAGTATATTAAAAAACCCAAAAAATTTTGTTTGGTTTTAATTTTAAAAGTTTAAAAGTGATTAAATTGGATTGATTTAACTAGCATTGAACCAGATTGACACTAAATTGAGTTGCAAAAAACCAGTTATAAATAAGAAATTTTCTTCTAACCATGAAATAATCAAAATATTAGTTTTATTTATTTGTTTTATAATTGCTTTTTATATTATGATAAGTTCTTATTTGAATAACCATATTCAAATAATTTTAAGCATCTCCACATTGAATTGCTACATTCATAGAAATTTAATAAATTTTCCTTTATGTCACCCAAAGATTTAAATACAAAAAAAATAAAACACCGGCTAACCATAATTATGGTTTATTTCTCTTGTAATTGAGCAGGTGGCTAACTTGTAATTCCACTATTTATTCTATGTAATTAAAGCAAGTCATTCTAGGTTAAAATAACCAGCCATGTCATGATATGGTGGGCTTTTATAACATGTTTAATGGCATAGTTAACTTTTATAGTCTATTATTAAATGACTTGCTTTCATGATATGGTTAACTTTTATGACATGACTGACTTGCAATGGCTAAGAAGTGGAGCTCTATCTTATACACCTAGTCCTTTAGATTTTCTTCGTGAAGAAAATAAATGTTTCATTAGTGATGATATTAATGTATTATCATTGACAACTCATGGTAGCTATATTCTATAATTGTTGTGTCGCACATGTTGTTGGTGGAAATAATATATGTTCTTCATAGTGCCAGGTGAAAGAAAGAACTTTCCATGCTCATTATGAAATTTTATTGAGCTCAATTGAGCCTGGCGTGTATGATATGTCATGCGAGAAGTCTGTGCATGAAGAAATGTAATGGATAATGCCCTAATTATAATACCCGAACAAGCCTAATAGGTAAACCTGGTTACCTGCTAATGTAGGATCTGACTTGCACAAGATCACTAAAACAACCTGAGGATTTTTTTAAACCATATTATCTTAGGGTTTTTCTTTACTATTTCAAGCATTTTAAAAAAAAAAAACATGAGATAACTCTTATCAACTTGCACATTCATTGTTCCAAACCTTAGATCATATTGATATTTAGGTCAGGGCTTATAACTATGGTAAGTGCAAAGATTTTTTTTCAAATAAAGTCGCCAATTAGAAGGGTGCAAATAGACATTCCAGATTGCTTTGTTTTTCTTGATAATACGAGAATGGAGTCCAGATGAGGAAATGGTATCAACTCCCCATTGAGCTTATAGACAAATCAGGCCCCTCAAAGGCCGAGGGAACTCCACTTCACCGTGCAGCTCAGCTCCTTCCTCGTCAAGATCAATTCAAATGCAGACAGGTGCGGTCTCTCAGGTTTTTACCACAGCATTATTCAAATGTAATGCTATATAGAAGCATTTACAAAGACAGGCATCCAAATTCAACAAGCCAAGGTGAGAGGTCCTAGAATTTGGAAATTTTGAAGAAAAGAAACACTCTTTCAATTCAAATGGAAAGCAGGAAAATTGGGAATTATAAGCTGATATAATTTCCAATACTTTTTTTAAAAATAAAAAAATTTAAAGGAATTTTGTTTTTAAGCTTCTGACAAATTTTCAAATAAGTTGTACAAAGTTTTGTCTTCGCAAGTTCGCAATTTTATTTTTTTTATTTATTTTTACAAAACATCCAACCATTAAATGCACTAAAATAAATCCCTCAAAATTCACTATACCAAAGGAGAACGCTAATGGCCCAAAATGAAGGGAAAAAATGGATAACAAATCACCCCCTCCTGTGGAAGGGGGCAACACTAGCTAACTGTTGGCCTCCCATCCCATCTAAAGTCATCCTAACTGCTCTCCAAGCTGTCCTTGCACACAAGAATTGTGCTAGAGGGACGGAACATTCACACCTTGATGACACAACATTTACAAATTTGTAACTTGGAAGATTCAATGAGAAACCAAGATGGTGGGTGGTCGAAAGCAACAGTCGGTTCGACCAAAGAATTTGAAGTGTCAAAACTATCTCACTCAAAGTGCTGTGTAGTTCGAGAAAAGCTGCAACAAATCATCAATAGTTTCTTTGTGGAATTTCCTTGCAAACAAGTAACATGGTCGTGTGATACCATTCCATAGGCAAGGCTGCACCTGCACTTCCTTCTACAAAAAGCACAAGGGAAGGGAGAAACAAAGACGTCAGCCAACAACTTATGAAAGAATCCAGTACCCAAATAGCCTTGAAAAAATTGTACCTTTTCATCACTTGTCACATGAATACTCAAATCGATTGACTGTGTAAAGATAAAAACATTCACATGGTTACGATCAAGGCCCGTATGAATAACACAGTTCAACAAAAAACACCCATAAGAAATTAACTACAAATATAACAGGAACAATCAGTCCACCTTTAAACATATTGGCATGCCAGCCTACATAAACGTCAGTAAATGATCCAATCCAAGTTGTGATGACCAATTATACTGTGTTACATTGTCATACAAAGGGGAAGTAAGGGAATAGTTACTAAAATGATTGGCTATCTGGGATGAAGGAGTGGGTATTTGATGGATGCTAGTAAACTCCAATCACTTCCATTCAGCTGTATCTACAAAGAACTTTAAACTACCATGCCAGTGATAAACCAAACTCTCACTAAAAACACCAATGGCAGTACCTATTCGAAAAGATACTCTTAAATATGAAGAAAGACCTACCGTAATATTCCTCAGAAGGTCATAAGTAACATCCTGAGACCTATACAATTTTGGATGCCACTTTCTCTCAGACCAGTCAACATGTGTTACTGACCAGTTTGCTATTCCACCTGGATCAACCATCTGAATTCACATATATAAAAGAATGTCATAATGAGGAACCAGGATATGGAAGGTCAAGTTAATGGAATATTGAGGAAGATTCTCACATGGAAGAAGGTTGGCAAATAATGTTCATCAGCAATGCAATTTTTCCCTTCCAAGCCAGGCTGAAATTATGTAAAAAATCCATGTCAATATCATAATCAGAACAAAATTTAGAAACTCCATAATGTACAAAGTCCCACAAGCAAGCATGTTGTCATGAAACATTTAAAAATGGTCACACGGTTAACAAATGCAAGATAAAAGACATTTTGTTGTGGCATTTGCTTGAACTTAAAACATGGAAGAAGGGTCCAAAGTTAAGCTGAATGAGATTGAATATCAAACAATTTTTTTATTTAGATCATCCCACCATCCAGTAATGACATCATATTGTTCCCTGCTGTGGGAATCTGATATGGTTCCAGGCGGAAAACACTAGTTGGATGCAAAGTGTACAAAATATTTTGTTGGTGAAAGAGATGCAGACAGTCTGGTTGTAATAGGTTCTCAAATTGCAATCCAAGTAAAAAACAAGAACAAAAAAAAAAAAAAAGGGAACAAAACAAAGAAAGAAAAGTAAAAATAATTAAGAAATTAAAAAGAAAGAACAAATGAATCTTCAAATAAAAAAAAAAACAGAGCATGCAGCAATCATGAACAAATAAAGAATCCTTTATTCTGATTATTATTCCTAATATGAGAGTTGCATGACCAAGTGTAATGATATAAAAAAAATGTTCTCTGGATGGAGGTCAGACGAATCAAACAAAATTTAGGAAGATCTCTAAGATATTTAAGAAAAAATTCCCTAAAATCTCAAATACTGTTTTGATATTCCAATGTGAGAATCAAGAGCTAAGTGTGCATTCAGCAAACCAAATTCTTGCACTACACTCAGAAGAGACAACGTGTACCATGAAGAAAATAAAACAATCATATACATATATGCAACTCTGTGGCTGTTGGAATAATGCAACCCATATAGAACAGATTAAACACCTATTACAGAACCATAACTCAAGTCAGAATTCAGGAGAAAATACCTTGCAGTAATCACGGAATTTTGAATAGTAAAGGCTGTCAGCCAAAACCATCACAGCATGTTGTCGCTTCATTGAGAACCACTGCATAAAAGTTCATTCATTAAAAACTGTGAAAATAAACTGACAGAATTTGAATCGATGTGCTCTATGCTGATGTATCTATCTACACCAAAAGCTCCATTGTAAACATGACAACATATCTAGAAGTCACACTAATATGCTTCTATGCCTGACTGTAAGATATCACATCAAGAACCCACGTTCAAGAGTAAATAGCCAAAAGCTTAGCATGATCATAACTAGTAGGAATTACAAAAAACATTTACTTCTGGCCTTCTAATGTTATTGCATGTTCATGCAGCCAATAATGAAAAATATGAAATAATTGACTGCATTATTTTCTTTAGTTGCTCCTTGGAGAACAAAAAGGGTTACCATAAAAAATATAGCCATATGGTCAAATTGGCTTGGAGGAAGTATACCTGTGCACCCTTACTAAAGTCTTTCATCTCAACTTCAGGTAACATGTGCTCTGAATACCTGCCATTCCCATGTGGGCCAGGATCGTAAAAGCTGAAAACAAAAGGGCACATCCATCAGGAAGGGGAAAAAAGGATCAATTTGAAATATAAAGGTCTTCAATTGTATTCCATTTCAGTAGTGATTGATCTATGACAGTCCAGACAAACAACATTTCTATGATCATAGTAGCCAACTGGAAAACCTTACACAAGTACCATAAGGTCACCGCCATGTATGAGAACAGTACTTACCG